ACTAAAAAAGAATTACACAGTTATAAACACTTAACATATAAATATTGAAAAAAGTAAAAATAACATTATTTGCAGCCGATATTACCGTATAACTAGAAAATCCAAGTGACTCCACTGAAAACTATTAGAAACAAAGAAAAGTCATCGAGTCGACAGTTGACAAATTTAATAAGCAGTAACCACCTACAATTCTCAATAGCACAACACAAGCAACTGAAAGAGCTGGGAGTTAACTAGAGAAGACACGTGCAGCTTGCTCACCCGGACGCCCGAGAGCCCCACCGCGGGAGCTCAGGAGGCAGAAACGTGTGCCTCACCGGCGACATCCTGGCAGCGCAGACAGAGGCACACGCAGCCTGCGGCCCGTGATGAGTCCCAGGGGAAACAGGGTGGACTGCGGGCACCTGGCTTGTTCTCGGACGTGAGCCCACAGGAGGCTGACTCTGAGTTTGAGCAGAGGGGTGAAATGCATGCATCGCCCCGGCTGCCGTGCTGACACGGGGATGAGGTGTCACAGGACGCGGCGGCAGACCAGCGGCACCGTCGGTCTTTAGGGGAAGGCCGCGATGGCCTGGCCCAGTGGCCCTCGAGAGAGGAAGTGACAGACTTGGGACATAGTTTTAAGACAGAGGGTCGAGTGGACTGAGCAGAGAGGCCAGGACTCTGAGGACGGCGGCAGCGCGTGGGTGGGGAGGCCCGGGGTGCAAGGAGAGCACTGGGCGTGACGGTGGAGCCAGGCCGCGCCACTGGGTGGGTCCAACACCGTAAAAATGCAACTATCCATCAGGAGCTCACTCCTCTCTGTCTGTTTGCTTTTGGGGCTTTGTGTTCAACTACTCAAGTTCACACAGAATAGTAACAATCAGAGAACAGGTGGGAAAATTCTGAGAAGAGTAACGAGGAACTAATCTTACAGATATAAACTGTGTCACGAAGCTGTCAGTAAAGACAGCGCAGGATCAGAGCCCAGCGCACCCACAAAAGACGGCGATTCTCTGAGTGGTGCTAAGACACTCTGTCACGTCATAGGACAGAGGCCAGGTGCCTACAGCCCACCCTGTTCTCCACCTCACACCCAAGATGCAAAAAATTTCGGTTGGGTCAAAAGATGTAAATGGAAAAAAAGAAATTATAAAAGTACCAGGGGAAATATACAAATATATTTATAATTCTGAAAAGCAAAGAGTCTTTCCAGGATGACTCCTGATGCAGAAGCCAAAGAGAAAAACCAAAACCTAATGACAAGGAACCAGCAAGGCACACAGCGGAAACAGCAAACGGGCTGACGCCGGCGGACACAGTAAAACTGACCAAAACGCAGCAAAAGACAGCAGTGAGTCCACAAAAGGATCACAAACATTGAGTGAGCACAAAAACAGTAGCAGACTATCACAAAAAAGAAATGGAAAAAAAACAAAATCCTATTGATAACTTCTGTCTTGGAACAGCAGCTCTCTGTTTTGCAGATTTACTCACATAAGTACTAACGTGAACGGCCATTCGTATCAATCATTTCATGATAATTAGTAATTTTCCACATCAGGAAAAACCACAACCCACCCATCAGTGAAGCACTGCTTAGATAAGTAATGGTATGTTGATAAAATGGAAGGTCAAACAGCTGGTAAAGAGAACAGGCAGAACAAAGATGCCAGCAACGCACTGCTAATGAAGAACGCCAGCTGCAAAGCAGCGTGTCTTCCTGTGAACGCGTGCGCGCTCTCAGAAAACAGATGAACACAGAGACGCCCAGTCATTTGCAGTAATTTCTGGGAGGTGGGATTCCTAAGGGTTTTCACTTTTCACATTAATTTTTCTATCCTGTTTGAACTTTTAAACAATTTTTAAAATAACTGTCACACACATAATCTGGAAAAAAGATTAAAATATCAGTAACAAATGTTCTAACCTAAATTATTTATTTTAAAATAATAGAAGAATTATAACTTATTGATGATGCAAATATCGCACTCCATACATCTGTAAAAATTTCCTGATATTTGGTTAATTCTGTTTTATAATTTGTTCTTTGGTATTCAATACTCTATTGCTGTTACATATGAATGAAAATGAGTTTTTTTAAGAAATGAATTAAATTATCATAAATTAATATTGATTATCTGTTACATAGAAAATATGCATACATGTGATCAATTCACAGGCATTTGTTCTGATGCAGGACACTGTAACTCAGATATAAGAGAACAAAAGATGATTAACAATTAATTACATTTGAAAAATGAACTATACTCTTTCATGGCTGAGTGAGAGAGAATCTAATTAATGATTTTCTTCCCTACACATTACCTTAAAAACTGATAGCAGATCCTCATCAATGAATCTGAGTAAAAGTACCAGGGAAAACGCAAGCAACTGATTGGTCATCTCCTTTGGAAATTCACGTAAATTGATCTCCCCGTGGCTTAAACGGTCTCTTACACGGGGACCCGTCTGATGGTTCAGGAAATCCCAGAGAAATTCCTTCCAGAAAATAAACAGAGCAGAGGCTTTGTTAGTATCCCCAGCAGAGGGAAGAGCGAGCGCCCAGGCCCAGAGCTGGGCAGTTCCTGGTGTGTCTGCGCGACACGGGAAACAGGGAGGCTGGGGCCCTTGGGCCGCACAGCTGTGGAGCCGTGGCTAGGACCCCTGGGGGCGGCGTCCTCTCTGAACACCACGCAGCACTGACCAGAGGCTGAGATGTTCCGAGGGACGCAGAGCCACCCGGACGGGGCCGGCACTTCATAAACTCAGGTCTTTCTTATTCTCACCCTCCTCTAAGGAAGGGACCGAGCTGTCCACATCTGGAAACTAACCCTTCAAGGCAATAGACGGAATCGCGGCTCTCACTTGAAAGAGCACGGCCCTTGCAACTGTGTCTCCTCTCTCCTGGGCGCTGTGCCTTCTCAGACCAAGCCCCGCCCTGCAGCCTGGTGAAGACAGTCGCCGCCTCTCTCAACAACCAGCCCCTGGCCTCTCCCGAAGGTTCTGGGGAAAAGAGGTCGGAAAACCGCTGACCGAGTGGCAGGGACTCCAGGGGGGAATGAGCGCCAGATAAACTACTGCAGTCACCTTCTTCCGATGGCAGAAACGGGGCCCAACGGGGACAAGGAATCTGACTAATGTCACAGAACAGGAACAAGAATCTCGTCCAAAGAATAAATATTTACAGTCCAAAGTAGTCACTGAAATATCTTCACAAAATACAAAAAAAAAATGATAAACAGAAAACGGCTTTAAACAATCCATAATTCTCTCTTCATCCAATACTCAATCCTGTTAGTCACATTTCACAAAGAAAGCAGTCCCGTCTACAGCACAAACCCACATAAGCAACAAATGCAGGTACCGTGTAGGGACAGGGCAGCTGTTCCCAAACATCCCCTGGCCTCAGACAGGGACATTTAAATCACTAGCGCACAGCCCAGGACCCCGCTGGGTCTCAGCGCAGCAGGTGTCTGCTGAGGGCGCACGAACAGTTCCCAAGTGTGTTCTTAGGCACCGCGGGCCGAAACCAGTTCCGTGTTGGAGAAGTGCCTGCCACACCCCCACACACAAGCACACTGGATCAGAAAATACCCGGTACTGACCATGGCAGGCTCTCCAAGGAAAAGAGGGAGCTGATTGATTTCACCGTCACTCAAGTGTTTTGCCAAAACCTGAAACACCAAAAATAAATTAAATGGTTCACACGCTTAAAGGATATAGTACCTTTAGGATAACATGTTATACATTCCAAGCACATGAAATGACAGTCTTTAAAACACAGCAACCACCTTTCAGGAAAATTTTTCTTAGCCAGTATAATGACTTTAGGAACATATATGTTCTTAACTGTATGTGTGTCTGTGTGTACGTATGTGTGGTGCATCTGTGTGTGCATACGTGGTGTGGGGGTGTCTGTGTGTGCCTGTGTGTACGCATCAGAGTCACTTCATTCGTCACTTCTTAACTCACCATGGACTTCGGGACCCAACCACCCTGACCCAGTCGTACAGACCTAACCCTATGTAGACTTGGCTATACTATCTAACCCGGGCCTCACATTATCAAATGTTTTATATGCTAAAATAATAGCAAATTATTTACCTAATAGATCTGCGGTAAGCAGACACATT